GATCTCGGTAGAGGTACAAAGCAGCAGCTAGGTAAACGTAAGTAAACAGCCAGAAATCGCTTTCGGGCAACACTGAGTCCTTCCTCAGGAAGAAGCTACAAATACTACAAGCTCAGACGAGAACTGCAACACATGCAGAGTAACCAATTGTTAATACATCGATTGAATATCTAATGTTAATAATAATCGTATATTTGTCTTGCTATAGACTGAGCTTCAAACAGATAAAGAAACAAATACAACGTAGAGCTTTCATGCGGTTCGGCACGGCTGACAAGGAAGGTCCCGATTATATAACTATGACTTCTATGACCTCTGAAGAAACTTCAAGTACTACAAATGCAGACGAGAACTGCAACACATGCAGAGGAACCAATTTTTAATCATTCATCATGAATATTCGGGAAAAGTATTGATGTATTTCTAGGAAAGATAGACATATATTTTCAACTTCATTTGCAACAGTTCATTTTTACATTTTTAAAAAAGGTTATAGGGCAACGTAATAACTATACAATTTATATAGTTTTCAAATGAATAAAAAATTTGTTGGGCATTGAATATAACATTTTTGGTGTCATCTGAATCGTACATGTGATTATAAACATATACCGGTAATTCATAATGATTTGTGTAACGTCGATAAAGTGGTGAAGTACAATTTACTATCGTTTAACAATTATATCACTCATGTAGTACGGTAATATAATAACAATTAAACAAATAATATTAACAACTATCATAGCAGTAACAATAAAGACAGCTCTTGGTAAAATGATGATGATGATGATGATGATGATAATGATGTTGATGATGATGATGATGATGATGATGATGACGATGACGACGACGGCGACGACGATGATGATGATGACGATGACGATGATGACGACGACGATGATGATATTGATAATAATTAAAGATTCAATATTTAACTTATTATCGTACAAAAAGTCCAGGAAATTTGTGTTTTAAGACTTACACACGAGTATACAAATACTGATTCAGCGACTTCTGTACCTGAGTCGTCTTAATTCCAGGGAAAGATTAGGGCGGGGAAAGTGTGTACGTGCCCCCGGCTTTGCCACTGTCGTTTATTATTTTTTTTACAGAAATGGCATACAAATATGAATGAATAATACGAATCATATGTTAAACAAAATATAATGATACAATATAAAAATTTAATGTATTCATCCACATGAAATAAATAATCCAACATGACAGCAACGGCAAAGTTGTATTTAGGTCTTGTTTCACACCTCACTTCTACAGCGACTTGATCAAATATTTATTGGAAATTGCTCTTTAATGTTGGTTCAACGGGAGGCCCTATATAAACCTAGTTATTATATATAAACGACGAGAAAATATAGGCCTAATGATATAATAATGGCAGACAATAGTGATACCAACGATAACGTGATCCTTTGCAATGGTGATACAAACTAGTGCTCAGCAGATCACCTCCAAAACAATAATCTAAAATCTAATTATGAGAGAGGCTTAGGTCAGTCGACTAAATTGGTGGTAACCACTGTGTGTGCACTGAACCGTAGAGATCTCTAGGTTCCCGGTTCAATTCCTATCGCTGCTCTAGTGTGTTTTAGCTGGAGGGCTGAAATGCCGCAAGTTACGATAGCGCACCGTCTTTCCGTCGAGGCGTGAAGTCGTTGGTCCCGTGTGCATTAAGACCCATGTGCACGAAGAACGCAGTACACTCTTCGGAAAAGAATAGGGGATTGCCTCCCGGTGTACTGCCCAATTCACCACCAGAAGGATCCCACTGGAAACAAGTTTTCGGAAAGTGGGTTATCTTTGTTGTGATTCACACCAAAATTACTCCTATTATATCCTACCATCGTGAGAGAATTAGGGCCCCAAATACTGTCGAATAAAAAAAATTCCATTTTTGTAATAATAAACGCAGGCAGACTGATCTGTTTACTTCAAATGAGTGATAACCAATAATTAAGTCTATATATTATCTCTTTAGGAGCCTGCAATGAAGAATGATAAACGAGGGCATGACGAATATTGAACAGACCTTTTAAACTAAGGCAATATTATTTTATAATGTTTAAATATTCTTAGTCTCCGGTTCAATTTCATCCACAGCTGCGTTTAATTTTGATTCAATTAACCGTCTTTCAGATGATACTTTCAAGCCATTGGTCCAGTTTGCAATGTGACCTATGTGTACGTTAATAAAGAATCATTGGGAGATCCAGGGGATAACATGGGCGCTCGCCTGCACCCCCTCTTAACAAGGGTTTTGTCACGCGGTCATAAGTATGAGTTGAAATACTATTAAACAACAAAACTTGTATTAGGTCTGCTTCATTGTTTTTTACAATGAACTTTATATTGGATACAATGATATGAATTTAGGAATGACTTAGAAATCAGGGTAGGCCTACTGGTTATGTTATTGATTCAAAAATCATATTGCGAGACGATGCATTTCTTAGCAGTAAAGCCCAGCTACAAATCAAGACGCAGGTACGTCCAATGCATTATTTATAGTGCACTGTACATTGGACATGTAGGCCTAAAAGTCAAATGGAAAGTATGAAGAATTTACAAAGGATTTTACGGATAGGCCTATCCATTAAGGAGGAATATAAAAATTAATCAGTTTTAATGTTAAGTTTAATGTTTTCAAAATAAGTTTTAATAAAATATCATTATTTTAAATCTTGAATTTGTTGCAATAGGATAACAAATTGAATACGTGTGTTGAATTAACCTTTTTGGTACTCTGGTAGGCTACAAGTTGGCAGGGTGGCCTATTGACTTGTTAATAAAAGTTGAGGCGAACCAACAAGAAGCTGCAACACCGTCAATTATAATACAGGTCAATAATTTATCAGTATCTATAGTTAAAAGCCTTGTGTGTGTACTCAAGAAGTACCCTCGTCGTACCCCTTAATTAAAAAAAAGAGGTTGGCTGTCGTATTAAACACACCCCTAAAATGCAAAAAGAGCGACGTAAATTCACTCTTCACTATACCGCGCGCGCCCTCTACAACGTGTGTATCGAATCGAAGCCAGCCAGCTAGCTCTCTGAATGATTAGTTTTGAGGATGTATTGATCGTGAAGGAAACTTTACATTGAAATAAATATGAATAGTTTGATACGTTTGGTATTTTTTATTCTTCAAGTTTCACTCACAGTATTAGCTGGGTAAGTGTTGAATTATACTTCGTATACAAATCTCAAAAAGCGTACTTATCCACAAGAAATTGTGTGTCAGAGTTAGGCTGACCGGTAGCTAATTTTGACATGCTGTCGATGGGGGTTCGAGGCACTCCAACAGGCAGGAATTGTGTTACGTGTACAGTCAGTCTGTGTTCCTAATTTTCAGACATTGGCAAGATGGGCGTAGGCCTAGGCCTATTATTAAATGATCTGATTTGTCTAATAGAGAGTATTTTCTTTTAATTCATTCGATTGATCTGTGATTATATTGGTCTCATGAATTATCTTTTGAATCGTCCCTTTTTTAGCTAGCAGTCTCATTATCATATGACAACATTAGCCTAGGCTAAGGCTAGGCTAGCCGGAATCTATCTAGCCTAGGCCTAGTTTAGTTGCAGTTGTCTCAGAATAGGACTAGGATTAATACCCACTCACTAATGTAGTCAAGGCCAATTTAGTAAGTACAGTGGGTCATAGAGGAACGGGTAAAGGGTAGCATATGGCCAACCTACAGTTTATAAAAGTCTAGTCCGAGACATCTTCATCTGTTTGTGTGATTAATTTATTATTATTTATTATTATTATTAAGATAATTAATCAGGCAGTAATAATAATAATCAAGACTTGTTTATTATTGATCAAGACTTGTATATTATTGATGGTAATCTACACCAGCCTAGACATATTAGACATCCATTTTTCATGACTGTATAAAGTTTTTTGTTTCTTGGGTATTGTTGATACAATGATAAAATGCTTTTCATTTTACACAGACGTGATTTCTATAAAATTCTGGGTGTCTCAAAATCAGCGACAAAACACCAGATTAAGAAAGCTTATAGGAAATTAGCAGTACAGTATCATCCTGATAAAAATCCGGATGACCCTGAAGCTGACGAGAAATTCAAAGATTTAGGAGCAGCTTATGAAGTAAGTTTAATTTTAATTGTAATAACTTTATTTTTATTTCTGTTGTTTTTTTGTATCTCTGTTTTAATTTATATCACCTTCAGTTATTATCATCAGCCAAATTATATTTAGTATTATCTATTGGGCCATTTTGTTTTTTTAAGATACATAATTAGCTGTAGTTAATATATTAGTATTAATATTTTACTCAAGAGGAAATTAAGAATCCATTTCCTTATCTATTTCAAACTGGAGAAATCTAATCAGGTTTACCATCTTTTCATTATTAATGCTTATTTGTGGCATAATATTAATATTAGTATGTTATTTTTCGTTTATTAGGCAATTTTTGAATAAAAAACATGTATTTGGGAATTTAAAACTGTTTTACAACATGTTAATATATAAAAAATAAACTATGGAATTCACAATCATATTTCATAATAGTTAATAGACATAGGCAATTGCTCTAATTAATATTAATATTTGTTATTGTAATTAAAATATTACATTAATTAATTTGATTGTTATTTCCATCATTATTTCATTATTATGGATACTAAGAAAAGGCAACCCTTTTGGGAGCAAAGCACTAGCTCTTATATTTACATTTACCTATTATATAATGGAATAGCCCAAGTAGTACAGCTGGAGAAATGTGGCTCATCGTGATTGGCTGACAAGTATTAGGTCATTACCAACACAATGACAACAGGGAAGCTAATATCTACACGTGTAAACATAAGACAGTTCCTTATCTGTTTTTATTAGTATATGAAACTAAAAATAAGAAGTCTACAGTATACTTGTTTGAAAGATTTGGGTGGATTTTTTTTTAATTTAATACTAATAACACTTTTAAAACATTTAATATTTTACTAACCATATTTCTGTTTTAATAATTTAAATCTACAATTATAACTACCATCCTTAATTGTAAAATTTTATTTTAGAATATCCTAATAAAAATCAATATTTATGACTGTATTGCTCTTGGCTCTTTATAATTTATTTTATTTTATTGAAGAAAACAAATTATTTAGTTTTTTTATTCCTACCCACCCATTTGCTGCCCCCACAAAAATATTATTTTGCCCAGCATTGTAAACTGTATTACTAATTTTCATATTCTTGTACAGGTTTCCCTCCAATGAAAGACCATTTTTGGGACTGGGGTTTTTATGGGCTTTTAGTAGCTTTGGCCTCTAATTAGAATAATAAAAATAAAAGACATTTGTTAAATTGGAACCATAGAAAAGTGGTATTTAATGGGAGGTCTCTAAAAAGAGGAAGACCTGTGCTTCACACTGTGTAGATCAAAATGAATTAATGTTATGGCCCTTTCACACCTTGATGATTTAGCCGGCGTATGAAAAAATTAGGTACGTCTAAGTTTTTGAAAAGTTTCGTATAAGTAAGAGCACACTGAAGCACTATGGTATCGTCGTAACACAGTACGATGGAAAATTTTGTACATGCACCAAATTTTTCGACGTATGTCACCGTATGACTCATACGTTCCGCATACACGTGCCATAAGTTGTGTGTAAGTTATGCGATCAAAAGTCCAAAAACGTCAAAATAATGTCTAGCGTACCCAAAACTTATTTCTAACCTATAAGCAACATGCTTTGAACCTATATGTAACTTACATCGAACTTACCTCCAACGCATTTTGATGTATGTAAACATATTTGACGTGTTCCGGACGACCACGGAACTTACTGAACATGTTTCTACCTTACATTTTTTACTTGGTCACATTCAAATATGATTTGTGATTAATTTCTGTAGGTCTTATCTGATGATGATAAACGAAAGCAGTATGACAGGCATGGAGAGGAGGGGTTAAAGGATACCGGTAGTCATGGAGATCCATTTTCAAGGTAAAAACAACAAAGATGCAGAAAGACAAACAACACGTTAATTCTGATCTATTCATTATATAAGTACCATATCTTAATAAATAACTGGTCATGCATGTACAGCATACATATACTGGTAATTATTAATACTGTATTTCTTCCAAGATATGTAATTATTGTTATAAACATAATTCAAAGTTTTTTAATTGTTATTTTAATTATTGTTACTGTTATTTATTGTTTTTGCAATTTTTATCTCTACAATAATTCCAAACATTTGTTTCATCATCAGTTTTTTTGGTGATTTTGGATTTCCCTTTGGTGGACAGCATCATTCCCATAATGATGATATTCCAAGGGGCGATGATGTGCACATGGACCTTGAGGTGTCATTAGAAGAATTATACTCTGGTAACTTTGTAGAGGTGAGAAATTTTAAGGCACTTTATTGATCAGGGTGCATTTATAATGATAATTATTATTAATAGTATATTTATCAATATATTAATAATACATTTTCACCATCTCCTTCCACTATTAAGTAGTATTTCAAATTCTTTCCCTCTTTATTTACTTTCAAGCAAAGCAACATTGACAGCACCTTAACCAGCCTTACAGAAACTCGACCATTAAATTTGATATACTTTACATAAACAGTCATTAGCAGTTGCATTTTTCTCTGCCCCATGGGACTGTTCCTAGTTGAATGCTAATTTAGGTCCATAATCATTGTTGCTATTAATGCACTCAACAAAATATTCTGATAATATAATCAGTATTATAGCAGTATCACACCAATTTGCAGTATTAAAACACATTTTATGAGCTCTAAAGTATTTACCTATCCTTATGGTAGATATTTTTAGGCTATTAATCATTGATGTGGTAGGAGCCCTAGATATAATACATATAAAGCATACAGAATATTAAAATACCTCGTATCATTTTGAAATATTTATTTTAATTTTCAGATTATAAGATATAGACCAGTACCGCATACGTCACCAGGAACCAGGCGATGCAATTGTCGTCAAGAAATGCGCACAATGCAGTTAAGTCCTGGACGATTTCAAATGTCTCAGCATGAAGTATGCGATGAATGCCCAAATGTTAAGTAAGTAAAAAAATATCAAATTTATGTTTTGTTGTGTGTGGATTTTGTTTGGAGAGTCACTTGATAGTTTTTTATAACTTTTTGTCAATCCTGGGCTGGTAGTTTCCACATTTTTTGTTTGTACAGTAATATTTACTGTATGTTTATCCAAAAATAAAATTTGAACTTTTAATTTGAATTTTAATCTTCTGACATAATGTATTTGTGTGATGTGGCCATATGGGCATGATGTTGTCATATTACACTTATTTGTCACATAATATTTGATAGTGTGGGGAGGAAAGACTATAGGTTAAATGTGTTTATTGTTTTACAGGTATGGCAATAACTAAATTGTTTTTCTTAAATTTGGTTTAATCTACAGATTGGTGAATGAGGAAAAAATTCTAGAGTTAGAAATTGAGCCCGGTATGGCAGATGGACATGAGTATCCATTCATAGCAGAGGGGGAGCCTAATATTGATGGGGAAGCTGGCGACCTCAAGTTCCATATTCAAGCCGCAAAGTAAGTATTGTCGTCTCTGTTTAGTGTTATTAAAATATTCCTAGATATACAAATGTCTAGAGGTTTGATGCTCTTTACTTTAATTTAAACATATTGACTTAAATATTTAACTGTATTTTTTTATTCAGGCATCCTAGATTTGAAAGAAAGGGCGATGACCTTTACACAAACGTCACCATAACTCTACAAGATGCTCTGGTAGGATTTGAAATGGAAATTACTCACTTAGATGGACATAAGGTAAGATGTACAAATTAATTAGAATTTATATTACTACAGTATATAAAATTAACTAGTTTCCACAGGAAATGAAAAATGACAAACTAATTTTTTTTTTTAATCAGTACTTCAAGGATATACACTAATATATTTCTTTAATTTTATAAAATATATGGATGTGAACAGTAAATGAGGAAAAAGTAGTGCATACAACAAATAAAGAAGTTTAAAATAAATTTATTAATACAAGTAAACATAAATATATAATTATATCTGGAAGTATGACATTTTAAGGGATTTTAAAATGTGGGAAGACAAACCTAACCAGTCACAAAATTGATCACCATATTTGTTACAATAGTAAATGGTGAATCTTGCTGAATGTCCCAAGTATAGAATGAGGAATTCTGAAAAATCTCCTTATGATTGTTAGCATTTGAAACGAACTGACCAATCAGGAAATCTTGTATACACTGTTGGCATGGTACAACAGAAACAAATGATTAAAACTCAATTGTAAATGGTCAGAATGGAGAAATATTGGATCAATTGACCATACCAGTCAGATGTAAGTTGTGGACATTCCTCAGGCAGAGAGCATACAAAGACTGTCCAAAGATTTCAAGCAGGTATTGAATATAACCTCTCATGAACAGATCTCAAAAAGCAAATGCTCGAGTGTACTTCATAGATACTGCTAACAAACATCTGATTCACTGTCAATATAATTACTTATTTTCAGGTTCAAATTGTAAGAGATAAAATAACATGGCCTGGAGCTCGTATACGGAAGACAGGGGAAGGAATGCCACATTATGACAATAATAATATTAAAGGAGTACTTTTCATAACATTTGATGTCAAATTTCCAAAAGGCGAATTATCAACAGAAGAAAAAGAAGGTAAGTAATTTTGCAAAATAAGGTGATTTGTAACTACTAGAGCATGATTTTTTGGGGGGGCGGGTACCCCTGCGCATCCCCCAGATACGCCACTGAGTATCTCAATTTTTGCTTTCTCCCTTTCTCTCCTTTATATCCTAGATTCAGCCCATTTGTTTTATTTTGGAATTTAGTCCTATAGTTACAAAAACAGATACATTTGTTATAATCTAATTCTTAATATGCTTTATTAAAATGCATTGCACATGAGTTTGTTGATTAATTATATTCTTTATCACCATCACCCACAAAGTAAATAAAAATATTCACAGAAATTAACCCAGTTTAAAAAAATAATTTTCTTACAGATTTTAAAAAGCTTTTAAATCAAGAATCAATACAAACCATATACAATGGCTTACAAGGATATTAATGCAAGGCAGTCAGCTACGGGTTGTTTGTTTTAGGCCAGCATGATGATGTTTATGATTTGACAAGTTTCAGCAGAAAGGACTCTTCTATCATGGAGCTGCAAGATATTTACAACTTCATAGTCCTACTAAGAGAGTGACAATGACATTCCAATATGATGTCATGATGGGGGTCATAAACCTAGTGATGTCATCAGCTATGTTGTTCAGGATACGATTGTGTATGTTACACCACCAACAGGAAACTTGTGTTTCAAACAGGTTGTTTTCTTGCGTAAATATCAAAGAAAGTATTTTTGCACATTATTAATTTGTTTATCAACCTATTTTAATCCATGCATAGATTAGGACATGATTTTTAAAATCTATAATTTACAATAATATGCTGGCATGCCTAAAACCTCTGTTCATACTACCTGTTCCATGTATGGTCATGATGTTGTCATATCACACCCAAATATGGGCAAGTCACATAAAACTTGACAGTGTGGAATTTTTACTTTGAAGCAAATATGTATTACTCAAGTGCCTTTGCAGGACCTTTCAGCCAATAAGCCAGCCCTCATTTCAACAACAATGGATAAAATATATTGTATTGATATTTTTGGAAAACCTTACATGAATTATTAACTAAATATTTTATTTAATTATAAATAGACTTATGTTAGGAGTAGGTTAAATATTAATGAGACATTGCTTGAGTTAAGTGTATTATGTTATTTGTGGATAGTTTTAAACTTTGGTGTTAACTGAATTTGTTTTCCAGAAATTGAAGAGGTTGCAAACATATTATATTAATTATCTATGAAAGTGAGGAAAGTATTCTCTTCATTTCTAAACCTCAACCCACATTCAAAGGTTTTTTTATTCTATTGTATTATTTCTGTATTGTATCTTTTGATCAGTGAATTTAATTCTTTCAAAAATTGGGACAAGCATTCCAATTGCTAATAAAACAAAAGAATTAACATAATTTGTTGTTACTGAGTTGTCTTCATTGTTCAAACAATAATACACATTAGAATTATCAGTTACTCTAGAACATTAATTCATTTTTAGTGACTTTTTGTTATTGGTGGTGAGACAATCATAAAATGAAGTTCCACTGACCCTAGTAGAGGGCAGCAGATGGATTTTCTAATCTACTGGAATGATGTGTCCTCTGAGAAGGCACCAGCAACCCTGAATTCATCTTGCATCAAGACACAAAACATTCGTTGATGAGTTGGTTTTGAGTATGGTGCTGGTCGAGGAACTGTGGTCCGCAGTATAAACTCTCTACCAGCTGGTCTTGGAAATTTAGAGGAATTGTGAGTAGAGGAGGATCCTTCATCACCATTCTCTGCCAACCTGTAAGCCTGCAAAACGAGCGAGACTGGAAATTTAAACAAACATTCAGTGCCTAAAAGACATACTGTACGGTAGAAAACACTATTAATGGTCTACACTTCGGGCAGGAAGTAATGTGGTCACTTAATGCAAAGAAATTATCCTTTAAAATACAGTACAGGATTTTATCTGAACACAGGCAAACAAAATTTATTCATGGTTTAACAAAAATATAATATCACCCAAAATAAGAAGTACCTTAATTATCAATAAAACTTTGTATTGCTTATTTAAACGAATCAGACTATAATAAGTCATTAATTTAATTATAAAAAATTTACTACAGAAATTTAAGGGTAGTATATGCAAATATTAGTATTTTTTAAACATTAATGGTGAAATTGTTTTAACTATTCTAGTTATAATTTGAAAGCTAATAAATATTTAAATACACAATTTAGGCAAAGTTTATAATTATTTTTGCAGTGGCTGATGGTTCCCTTTTGAATTATGTCAACAATCGATACAGTATCCTATTCACTAATAAATATACACTACACCATATTAGTTTATACTACACTAAACACAACTGTGTGTGTAACTCTTACCTTGTGTGCCTCAATGAACAGCTTTTTAATGAGTGACCCAGCAGGTCCCTTAGCAGCCCCGATGACAGGCACCTCAGGGTGCTCCAGGAGGCTAGACACAAACGTGTCCATCTCAGTTTGATTCTTGCTACCAGTTGCCTGTGAGCTGAACTTTGTTTTTAAAGATTCTGAC